GCTTGACATTTGAAAATGACAATTACTTATAAATATTAAATTTACAGACTCTGGATCGCGACCCGTTTAAAAATATTTTCAGAGTAATGCGGAAGTACATTAATAATTAAATCATGACACATTTAAATTCTTTGATGATCAAACATTTCCCTGCCATCCTTGCATCTCCTTTGACTCAATGCCCTCCGGGAGTGGTTCCGTCATTGTCCTCTTGTTACCTACGTGTAGTCAACGAAAAATACAAACTACACGCTCAGCGAAACCGCTGAGTGGTACCACGCTAGAATTGTAGAATAATTAACAGACATATACATATATATACGTCCACAAGGTGTATAATAATATTCATGATATGGAACATTATATCATATGATCAATTTGATGATTCATGATGTTAAGTATTTAATGATAATTAAATGATGGCACATTTAATCAATTTGCTTGTTTGTGAGGATGATTACATGACACCTATGTAATAGATATAATTGTTCTTGATGATGATTACATGAAACCTATGTAATCAATATATTTGTTCTTGATGATGATTACATGACACCTATGTAATCAATGTACTTGATGATGATGACATGATGCATGATTCTAAGTCAACAAGGACGACCCTTGCATTGTGAAATTCGCCCATTTGGTACGACGAACTCAGCGGCCTTAGTCTCACAAGGGAGACTAGAAAAATAGGGGTGGTACTCGAAAGCCTGAATACCATGTACGTACACTAAGCCCGGTCAGTGATGTCGGACTGCTAAGTCCCACACAATCACAGCTATAAGAGACTCAATTACGCATGATCTCTTACGCATGCATATGATATGATATGCTACAATATGTGTGATGATATGAGTCATATGATATGAACAATTTGTAAATAATATGAATGGATAAATATACTTTATTTTATTTGGGTGAAATATGATAAAAATATCATTTAATTAAGCTATGGGGCTCGGAACGGTCGACCGTTTGGCGCGACGGTCGACCTTGATCTTCATCAGGTCGGATTGGCGGATCACCGTGACGGTCGACCGTTGTGGACTGGCTGCGGATGGCGGACTTTGGCTGGTTGGCGGCGGTCGACCGTTCGCCGACGGCGGTCGACCGTTCTGCTGACAGTTGTGGTCCGTTTCGAAGTTTAATACGACGGTCGACCGTTTGCGTCGACCGTTTGAGTTTGCGACTCTTTCTCTTAATATTTTGAGTGTCCAAAATACTTTTTTAAGTCTTTTAAACAGCTTTGATTAACATATACATATTGTTGGGTTGATTTCCAAAGTTTATGTTTACTTATGTGTATATTAACTTTATGGATTTGGTGTATTTTGATCTCAACATATAGATGACTTATATATGCATCACATATATATTTTGGGATGATTTCAACATATGGATTAACATATATGTTCATGTACGTATGTGATGAATGATTCGACAAGTCTAACGCAAAGGTACAGAACTGGAAATCATCGGTCGAAACCTTACGGATGAGCGAGAGTGGAAACAACATCGAAATTCACTTTGTCGTTCCCGTCACAACTGAACAGCCTGCGGTATTTTGAGCATATCTCCATCGTTTCTTCACGGAATTACAAACCGTTTGATGCTGCGTTTGGAACTCATGATTTGGAAACTATGGATGGTTTCTTCTTGTTTCTCCTTCTTCCTTGAACCATCTATGGAGGAGGGTGTTTTCTTCTCCCCTTGAAGTTTCCGACAGTGAGAGAATGGAGAGGGAGAGATGAGATGATGGTGATGATGGTGGAACATGATGATAATGAAGATAATTGTGGTGGTGGAGTATTATAACATGATACTTTGGAAATATTATGTAGCGAGAGAATTTAGGTGACTAGTGGAGCAAAAGTGAGGCTAGGAGGGGCTGGTCCGTGATTTGGAAGAGATTTGATAATTTAAGTTTTGGCTTTTTGCCAAAACTGAACAGTTTATTCCAAACGCTACGCGCTTTTTCGCCCAAATTGTTCCAAATTGAAAACGGAATGTGTTTTTGGAATGAGACTGTCGAAATTAGAATTTTGATGTAATCGAAATATTTTTCTGAGAACTTTTATTTTTCTCAGTGTTCAGGTCTGTCTCAGTCATAAATCAATTTAATAATATGAATGGGATATAAATATATGGATTAAATCCAAATGATAAATATGGTGTTGTCAAGTGTCCAAGATTAATATTTCTAATCTTATGAAATCACTTTTGAATTGAGTTTATTTTATGGGTCAAAGTTACAAATTTTAATATTTAAAATCGTCATAGCTTGAAACATATAAATGGGATTGATTCATAAAATGTTCTGTTGGATTCGTCTCCTCGAGACATATCCATAAAAATAAGTTTTTAACAAAAAGTCTTTATTTGGAAAATCCATTTATTTTTAGTCAAACGTACAAATATTCCTTATTGGATAAAAACTATTTTGGTTTTATAATAAATTTTAGGCCATATTTTGTGGCGTTGCACGTGGGACTCGAGTTCTCAGGTTGTAACGGTTTGTTAAGCACTCGTAAGCTTAACGGAAGTAGTGTAGCTCGAGAAAGTCTCTCGGGAGGCTGGATTAGCCACAAGTTGTGGTAAACCAGGGTAAAATCGGTGTGCCTCTTACTCTTCTCTTTACTTCTCGTTTATTCATTTTTTATTCCTGCGATTTCTTGATCAAACGCTATTCACCCCCCCCTCTAGCGTTGGTCTATTATTCTAACAATTGGTATCAGAGCCTAACTCGCGTCCAAACTTAACTGTTTGAGAGTAAAACGATCATGGGTTCTTCTTCTAGAAATCTTTAAGCAGGAATTGAAGGTCAATCAACTTCTAGGTCACCACTCTTTGATGGCACCAACTACTCATATTGGAAGGAACGGATGAGAATCTATATCCGTTCCACCAACTTCCAATTGTGGTTGGTGATAAAAAATGGCGAGGAAATCCATGTGAAGAAAGTGGGAGAAACCACAGTCCCAAAGACCGAGGACGAATTTGATGCCGAGGACATCAAGAAGATTGAGAATTATGCAAAGGCCATCAATATGCTATATTGTGCGGTCAACCCCGATGACTACCGAAAGATCTCCTGCTGCACAACCGCCAAGGAGATGTGGGATAAACTTGAGGTGACGTACGAAGGAACAGACCAAGTACGTGAAGCCAAGATCGACTTCCTCACCCAAGAGTATGAGATGTTTAGAATGAAGGAGCACGAAAATATCGACGACATGTTCGACCGATTCTCCAAGATAGTCAACGATCTTCATGCATTGAAGAAGACTTACACCGACAGGGATCTTGTGCGAAAGGTCCTACGGAGCCTGCCATCTGAATGGCGATCCAAGGCTGATTCCATCTATGAGTCAATCGGCACATCAAATGTCACCATCGACGGTCTAAGAGGTAATCTAAAAACTTATGAATCTACTATTCTTAACCCGTCTTTGAATGACCAAAAGAAAGGGATAGCATTAAAAGCCGTCAAAGAATCAACGATGAATTATTCAAGCGACGATGATGAAGTCAAGCTTGTCATGAAGAAGTTTTGCAAACTTCTAAGGAAGAAAGAAAAGGTTCAGGATGGCCCTGTGTGCTATGGAAGTGGTGAAGCCAGGCACATCAAGAACAACTGCCCGAGAAGCGGAAGGAATGCTCGTCAATTCAAAAGGCAAAGGGCATATATCTCTTGGGGTGGCGACTCCGGCGACGAGTCAACCGACCAAGACGAGAATGAAATTGCCAACCTCTGTCTCATGGCGCACAGAGACCAAACCGACGATGTACAAGAGGTATGTACCATTTCTTCCGACTCTTACACCTTTGAAGAAATGCAAGAAGCACTTCATGAACTTTATGATGAATTTGTTAGCGCTTCTAAAATCAACAAATCGTTAAAGAAACGCCTCTCCACTCTTGAAAATAATTTTGAAAATCTGGAAAAAGATAATGAGAAGTTAAAACAAGAAAATAAATTTTATGGCAAAAGAAGCGTCGACAAACCAGAAAGTTCCTTAAACGAATGTGAATCTTGTAAAGCTTTAAGGGAACAAGTCACAAAACTAGAGAGTACGGTCAAGAAATTTAATACTCCGCACAAAGATTTAAATTTGCTCCTTGACACTATGCATTTTTCTAAGGAAGGAATAGGTTTCAATAAAAATGAAGTTAAAGTTAAAGAAAACGTTGAGCCACCATCTAGACAACCATCTAAGGCTCAACGTAAGAAACCTAAAAATCAGGATAATAGAAAACCTAGTCAACCTAAGGACACTAGACAACCTAGACTAAAACCTAGGAATGAAAATGTTCATGGTAGACAACCTAAGAAAAATGATTTTGTGCATAATAATAATTTTTCTCAAAATAGGAGAAATAACATAAGGACACCT